CAAATTTTTTACTTAATTTTAAAAGGCACGTGTTCCCCTGCTGTGTCATGAATGCTAGACTCTTGTGTCGGAGTGAAATCAAAGGAATTATTTGCCTTTTCAAAATGTTTGTGTGACGGGTCGTGCCTAAAAAAGAGGAATGCCCGTGCATCCTCCTCCGACTCATTACCTGATGATATTTCAGCATTTTCTTCTAGTCCTTGTGTCTCCACGTGTCCCACCTCCTGTGTTTTACTGACCATTCTTTGCCGTGTAACTCCGTCCTTCTTTTGAGTGATTTCTTCGTTCCGCACTCCCTGTCCTTCTTTCCTGCTGGTCGTCCTCCTCTTCTTTCCAATGGCCCTTGATGGCGATCCCCTGGCATTTCTTTTGTTTGGCATCTTTTCGTTTAAATAATTTAACTAATTTCTGCAGCACCTGCTTTGTTGTCGACAGCAAATTAACAAGTGCCCGATACGGGAATTCCAAAATTCAAATTCCACCTGAGAGCGCCATCTATGGCCATGCCAAATATGGCAATGAGCTACAGGCTGCAACACCCACACACCCACACATATATTTGATTGAATTAAACCAGATTATTGAAAATATAAAATTTTGATAATCTCTATTATTTTTGGTATTTTCTAACCATGAACAGAATAAAATTATTGAATTGTGTTAGTAATGGTGTAATTATTGGTATTTTCTAACCATGTTGGTTTTTCTTCAAAATCAAAACTGTAGAAAGAGAAAAAAGTCCTGTGCATATAGTTGCTTTAAACTTAAAATCATATAAATGAACTAGATGCTTAGTTATCTTTACTTTAACATACATATTAATGCATATAGAAAATAAAAATAAAATAACTTTAATATAAGACAAGATCAAGTAAGACCAAACAGTTAACACACTTGAAAACAAATAACATAAAGCAAACACATTGTAGACGAACCAGGAGTAACTCTACTATAATGACAAATAAGGCATATGTGAAATGTACCGACATTACAGAATTCAAACCACAAACATTAAGACATAACTCAATAACCAACCAGTAAAACACTCAATGTCTGGATAGGAAAAAAATGAACATACACTTCTGGTGGAGATGTTGAAATGAATTTAGAGAGCAATAAATGTCACAATGTTAAACAACATATATCAATATCTATTTTTGTATGTATCTTGAAATGAGATATCTGTTGAAAAAGAACGAGTGTTAATCAATAACAATATTTAAATATTCAGGTATTTTCAATTCGAAAGACGAATAGTTATTAAATAGATCAAACTATGCGATTAAGCAGACCGTCATAAGATATAAGAAACTTACCATAAGTACAAGTCAAAATATTATGAAATGCATCACCCATATCGTAGAGTTTCAACCCCTTTTAAAAATATAATGAACTGTACAGTGTCTTATTTTCTATTTCAGGGAAAAGGGTATGGTAAACTTAAATTCTCTGATAACTCTGACATAGACTTGAACTTATAGGAGTCAATTTTGACTCTCAGATCTCTAAGCCTTATAAGGCTCCGATAATATGTTATATGTATTAATATACATCATAGATAAATATGTTCCGAAATATGGTTCTTAAGGTAACTTTGGTTTAAGACCATAATTAGCTTAGCTCAACATCACATCCGTTCAACTGTACGTTGTGAAGTTTCTAGTGAGCATTTTGTATGGACAGCCTATCATGACATTGAACTGACAAACCATCGTGATACCGTATCTTAAATTTAATAACGTGCAATGTTACATCCTGTAATTTTGAGTCAACAAATTATAAGGTAAGCCTATCGTAACATTTTAATTATATATCATCATGTACTTCCGTCTCTACATTCTTTAGTTTAGAGTCAGCATGTGTTTGATAAGCCTTTCGTTTCATTATAGTGTTGAAGCGTCGTTATATCTTCACTTAACATGATGTACTGTCAACTGCACATCGTGTTGTTTTAAATCAATATATTGTATGATAAACCTGTCATTATATCGCAATAGTTTAACATCGAACTATCTCAGCTCAATGTGTATTAAAGTAAATGATAAGTCAGCACCACACATTTTAACTATTCCTTTTATTTGTAATCATAGCAATCAATCGAAATGACTGAGCATTATCCATCTGCAAACTTATATCATACAACGTCAACTTCACCATGTGCACATCATCATAATATAGTGACTTATTAATACAATACTATAAAATAAGCCATTCTCATGGAAGTCAACATAACGCAAATTCATCTTAAAATTAAGAATGGGAAATATGTCAAAGAGACAACAACCCGACCAAAGAGCAGAGAACAGCCGAAAACCACCAACGGGTCTTCAACACAGCGAGAAAATGCCGCACCCGGAAGGGGGTGGCTTCAGTTGGCCTCTAAATGTTACAAATGTTAGCATGTCACAATTTAGGGTAAGCACTTGGATGACTCAATTCATTACGCTGTCTTAACTTTACATGCCTTAGTATAACGTTTAGTAATATATGACAGCTGAGGCTTTCTTAACCGACTGTCTGTTGAGGGCTTTTTGTAATATGTGCTAAATTAAAGAATGAGGAACGATTTGAAACGCTGCTGGGGATTTATTTGATGGAGTTAACTGAGGAAAGTATTGAACATGTTAATTGTTCGATCTTGAATTTTGTATAAATAAGGTTTGAATCATTTTTAATAGTTGCACAAAATGTGTTCCAGTTGTTTTGCTTTTTTGGTGACATGTCTAAAATAATTATCAATTTCCTTCGTTCGAGGCACTTTTCTGGATTAGCATTCGTCAGGAATGCTAAAAGCCAAATATTTGAAAACCAAGATGTATCAGAACCGAAACAGTAGAAGAGCTATCTGACCATAAATGACCTGAAAGTAATAGCCAAACGTATGGCTCAGTTTGTTTGCGTCGAACATTATGAATTTGTATTCTGTATATGATGTTTCAACAATATGTCATCAAAGCAAATTCAACTCTTTTTCCATTCATTTTTTATTGTCCCCTATATTAGATCATTCGGGGGACAAACATATACTAGTGCCTTCCTTCCGTGTGTCTGTCCGGTCTTGTTAGCGCTATTACGTGAACAATTCTTTGAAGGTTTTTTCATGAGAACCATATTTGTATTAGTAATGTCATGGAACAAATTAGATAGTCAGTGCCAGGCAACTATTATCAAGAAACTATTCCACTTCAAATTATAGTTATGTGGAAAATTTCATCGTAAGTGCCCTCAAGTTTACATGTATTGTAGGACTATGATGAAACCTATAATAAAGATTTAATAAAGTAATATCTGGGACGACTTCTAACATCAGCACTAATTAAATATTTGAACAGAAACTGTTTCTATGAAATGTAATTTTTTTTTATTATATTGCATTTTAAGCGGTCTGAAATGTACAGTTTTTGCTAGTTTAAAATATAATTTCCATCAAAGGTTAATACGAGCATTGTTTCGAACAAGTTTGATATCAGTCAAAATAAACTAGTATTTCGCAGAGACAAGTCCGTGAAAATAACAATTATTTTGAAAAAGGTGTGTCCGCACTCTCCTATCTACTTTTCCTGAAATTTAATCATGAAATATATAACATAAGTTTATAAACGAAATGTCTTGGGCGAGTTCGAGAATCGGTAGTGCTGATCACTCATTTCTTGCACACGCTATGTCTCTCTGAAATGTAATGTATATTTAACTTTACATTTTAAGTATTCTCACACCTATATTTCTTTTCTGAATATAGGAAGTTTATGTAAAATGCTTATATCAACAGTGTCTTTGTAGCTTGTCAAACAAAATATTTAAAAGGAGTTATAATATGACGTTCTTCATTAGCTTTGGATACAAAGCCATGTTCTCAATCCAATAAAACATGGGCTGCACGTAAAATATGATATTGTTGTTGACTTTTTAGGAAACCCTTTATATCGCGTTATTGTAACAGTGTATATCTAGGTGGACATACTGGTCTTATTTTAATGCAGAATTGATAGTTTGTTTTTCAGTTTATATCTCTTATCTTTTAAAACTTACAACAAAACAAAAACAAGACTGACATTTTCCCTGTTTGGTAGTTTCACTTATCCAAGTAAACAGTGATTTTATCAAAATGATTGTTTTTTTTTAGAAATTACCAAAATAAACTTAATGCTGTTGTGAATTAAGTATAAATCTGTTGGATATCAGTACGGTAAGTTATCATTAATGGTTACAGTCGAAATATTTATACGAATAAAGGTATATACATTTTTTTGCAAAAAATGAAAGCAAAAGATCAACCGTAAAAGCTACATCATGATACCGGAAAATAGTACATGTAATAAATATCGATTTTCTTTCAAGTGGATTTGAAAAGTATTCGATTTACGCTAACAGCATGCAGAAACTAGTTACAAAATGCATTTTTAAATTGAATTCGGAAAGTATTTAATATACAAGGTTGGATGTTTTAAGCGTTAATTAGTGGTACTGTCAAATAATGTATGCCTATGTCGCGTTGACATGTTATGGCTGTGCTTAAATTATTGTCCTCGATGATGTGAGGTTACACATTGTTTTTTTGATAAAGAATTTGTATCTGAAGTTAATTTATGACCCAAATTAATGAAGGGTTTAAAATATGACAAGTAAAAAAAAAATGCAAAAGATGAACGAATGATGGTGCATGCACTAATCAAACCCCATCAGGATTTGTAGATTTAATTATTGAATGCAGCTCCTGGATGACAAACAATTTGTCAATGAAATATTCACATGTCAGAACTATTATATCAATAATTCCGTTTACAATGAATTTCGATATTATGAAAACAAATCTTTTCATGACACAAGACAGATTGTTCGTTGAACGTTGTGGTAAATGAGAACGGAGATGCATGTATATATCACTAGAAAAAAGTCTTATAACAATTGTTATGAATTATGCGTTTCCCTATACACACATTTAACATAATCAGTCGATTTTTCCCATACTATTGACGTCATCAGAATAAACGGTTACCTACCGAACGATGTCACGGGTATTGTATCTTGGAAAATAAATGAATCTGTTTTTGTAATCATAGTCCATGGCATACACATAATCACCTCCGTGCTCAACCAGTACTGTCACATTGTGTGTATCAGTATCAAATTCCATAATTGCATTGTGGACTGAATACAAAAGTTTTCTTGAATAAGCTGAAACAAAGAGAATAAGATAAGTATCCTAACTATTTCATAAAAATCTAAACTACAATACATTTAGGTAACTCGCCATCTCTGTATCTTATTAAAATGACTATACTAAATAAAGATGTAAACAAGACGACAGACAAATATGTTTACATGTCTATAATTTACAAAATATTTTAATGAACTTCACGCACAAAGTGAAGGTTTTATTTTTAATATATATATTATAATATTTACTGCTTACCTTTTATTTAGAAACACAAAAAGGACTGGTAAGGGAGGATGCAACATTTTTTAGAATAATCATCTTATCGAAAATGTTTTCTTTTAGATATATGTCTTTTTCGGAATTACACGATTTTATGTAACAAAGGAAAAAAAGACACAAAATACTTTCAGACAAGATAACGGAGTTAACGTTAAGATTTGAACACTTGAGATTCAAATATAAATGTACGCTCATACATATTATTTCTTCTTCAATACAACTGTTTTAGTTACAATGGTAATTTTCTTTGATGACAAATCGGGTCGTCTTAATTTGAATGGTAGAATTAATGAAGACCTACTTAGAATCCATAGAACCATAGTTATATATGGAGAACTATTAGCAACATGGTGACACATGATGAAAAAAAAAACAAGTATTGACACTTGTCATATATACCATGCCATTTTAGAATAACTCCCATCAAATACACTTGAGACAAAATGTTCGGGACGACACATACAAAATGTAACTGAAATCACGAATAACATAAGCTAAGTGTGTTGAATAAAAAGACGACATGTTGGCAAACTCTAGATTTAAGCCGACAACATTTTGTATTCATTTTGAGCCAATATTGCTGTAAGTCATATGATACAGTCCCTGTAACGTAAAAGTTAAAACTCGGGAATCGTACGTACAGCGTTCGAGAATCGTTAGTATAGAGTTCGGTCAGCATTCGTTCGAATTCATTGTTCGTTCATCGTATGGTAAATGTCATCGTTTAGGGTTTTGTACATCGTATGGTTCTTGGTATCGTTATGCGTTTTATTTGTCGTATGGTACATGGTATGGTTTCGCGTTTAGCGTCTCGTTTATCGTATGGTATGAGATATCGTTTAGCGTTTCATCTATTGTATGGTATATCGTTATGTTAAACGTATAATATATGTTAGGGTGTTATTTCAAAAAGTTATTTCAATTGTTGCATTGTATTGTTTGAGTTAAAATAATTTAATTTAAAAAAAAAATAACTATTAGATTGTATTGATTGATAGTTGGTTGCGTACTTGTATATCCCAAACAACCAAACGAATACCACACTTTTTCAAGGTTTTTGTAACGCCAGCCGAAAGAAGACCTGTAGTGACCTTATTTCTACCTCCTAGTCACCCTTTGCACTATATTAGATTGGACAAATTGGATTGGAAACATTTCGATTGTTAATTAAAGCAAATAAGTTATCTTAATTATTATATTTTTTTGTTTTATACTAATTGCGTAATTCTTAATGTCTTTTTGATATTTTGAATCACTGTGTAAATAACATTTCAAATTCGATCTTATAAAATGTTAAAAAAAAATAACCGAAAAAATACCCTTAGTTCAATGGAACGTGAACTATCTATTCTACATAAAACTTATTTAGTAGTAAAAAACTGTATTGGTTGTAAACGTTTTATCGTCATTGAGAAACGTTTAGCAGTTGCATTTTACTTAATTTACATGTACTATAACTCTATGTAGATTTCGAACTGTAAACCATTTCTGACCGATAGAGAACAAATCTGAAACTAATATCATTACATTATTGAATACCCTGCTATATAAAACGAAGGGGAAACATTTCCTTCCATCACATTTTGACATGAGTAACATGAGACCAAATACCGCGAAATCTCTCTCTCTCTCTCTCTCTTTCCTCCTCCTCCTCCACTAAATATTTCTTTGATACAAATATTTTCTTGACACAATAAATAATATATAATGTTCTATAAATGAGGCTGTATACACGTTGTATATATAAATGTAGAAAACCAAAAACCTATTAAGTTTGTAACTCTTATACAAAAACATGTTGTGAATTAAAAAAGACAAGATATCTATGGCATTTGTTCCCTCAATGTCAGTCTGGTATAAACCGAAGATTGCCAGGGATATATAAAAATTCGTGAAGACTTTTATCGAACCAGCGTCGCTTGCGATTCCTGCCGTCGGTGTTAAAACTGTAATTTCGACTGTAAAAAGTGCTTAAGTCCATGTATGAATAAAATACAAAATGAAAAAAAAAATCGTCCTTTTTTTTATTTCTTTATTTAAGAGGTAAGTAAGTTTCTGTCCAAGTTTCACAAACTTTAACGCAAATTAATAAGATCGAATCACCTTAAATAACCAAACAATTGTATTTTAAAAGTTGTTGCTTTGTTATTTGAACGAAAACATGGACTATTTGTCACTGGACTTTATGCATGCAATCAATGATCAAATACAAATCTACATAATTTATAAACATACTGCAATTGTACATATGAAAGAGACTAAATAATATAAATATCAATCATTTTACACATATTTGAAGGATCAAAAGAATCAGTTCTACAAATGGTTGTTATAGAAAAACTTAGTGCAATCTTACAAATATTACATGCTTCTGTCAAATTTCATATCGACGCACCAAACTACTTCCTTTTATCGTGCATAGCTCATTTTCCGATTCACTTAGGTTTTTGACGATCTTCTTATTTGTTCATTACTTTCTAAAATTAAAATCATACACAATTTGCCAAAACTATTAATCTCATGCCAGATAAAGGCAACAGTAGTTTACCGCTGTTCGAAACTCATAAATCGATAGAAATAAAAACAAATCCGGATTACAAACTAAAACTGAGGGAAACGCATCAAATATAAGAGGAGAACAACGACACAACAAAAACACAACATTAAAATGTAACACACACAGAAACGAACTATAATATAACCATGGCCATTTTCCTGACTTGGTACAGGACATTTTAAGAAAAAAATGGTGGGTTGAACCTGGTTTTGTGGCATGCCAAACCTCCCGCTTTTATGGCAACGTCAAACCCAACACAAAAACGACAACATCACATGACAGGACCACAATACAAATAAATGGGAGAACATATAGGACAAAGAAACACACGAATTGTTGCTAACAAAAGGTACTAGGCTTAAAATTCAATACGCCAGACGTGCGTCTCGTCCACACAAGACCAACCAGTGACGCTCAGATGAAAAAAATTTGAAAGCCAAAACAAGTACAAAGCTGAAGAGCAACAAGGACCAAAACTTCCAAAAAATTGCGCCTAACACGGCCAGAGTTTTCTGCCTGGGACAAGAACATCCTTATTATTTAGAATAATTTATAATTTTGCAAACAGTAAATTTTATAAAATGACTATATAATAGATATACATGATAAAACCGAAGTGGGGACTAACTACAGAATAAAAAAGGATACATTACATAAAACAACTAAATCCAACACATAAAAATACATAGCCGAGTTAGCCAAAGCCTCAACGCACAAAGTGACGTCACATTTGAAATTCTAAAAAAACACACAAAGTGACTTCACATTTGAATTTGTAAAAATATTACCCAAAAAAAAGATAGGATTAGACAGTGTAAAAGATAAATACACGTTTGTTAGTGTACAAACGGTGTTTTGAAGGCCGATATCCATTTGTGCTGAAACAAGAATTATTTGCCCCAAAACTTAATTACGCAAGTTCTTCTTTTACGTCACTGTATTTTGAAAACTGCAGCTTTCATTTGCGCCAATTAAAACCAGCATATAATTGTGCAAATGTTATAGACTTATATACTGTTACTTTGATATTTACTTAATAACAAACATGACTCCTTTCTCGTATTTACAAGCTAGTTTCTGAGTGCTTAATTCATGTATGTGATCTTATTCACCATTCGAAATGATTGTGCACGAGTCATCTGTAAATAGCCTTGGAAAGCATGATTTGACAGCGCGCATTATAATTCCATCAAATTTTTCCATTTTCTCTATAAAAGCCTGGCTGAATTTATAATATTTACAACCAGGACAGGTTTTGAGCCCTCTATTAGACTCTTAATTTCGAACATCCTTTCAAGTGAGTATTCCAATGTTACATGTAAATAGGTTAATCGTTTAGAGGTAAATATGGCACAATTAAGTTCCATTTATTTGCGCAATTCATACTATAAGAAAAGAAGAAATGGGCGAGATTCAAACCTTTTCAATATGGTAGTTGGCATAAAGTACACATAACCGTTCTGACCAACCGGTAATTTCTTCACCCGAGGATATGAATTTGACATTAATCTTCCTTCAGTAACTTTACAATATCCCAGCCGTGTCATTTCCGTATATTTTATATGTAGATAGTACGTGTGATATATGTATATTCACCAAATATACCGATTCAAGTGAATTCTACCTTTTCGGAGAACTCCATATCGGGTAACATTTAATATATATAAAAATAAAATTAGAATTAAAAAAAATGATAAAAATAAGTTCAAATGTTGCTTTTTTAAATGCACCTAGGTACGTATTTGTAAACTTATTTTTTTTTTTTATTTGTATTCTTTTTAGGAGTCAATTACTTATTTTTTTTTTCTAATTGACTTCTTCATAAATCAAAAAACGAAAGAAACCTAAAGAGAATCACATGGTATTTAGTGATTTCTCCAACTCTAAACTAGTTATAGATGCCTTTTAAATTTTATTTTTCTCGTTGGGTTGCTTGTCCATTAACGTTTCCGCCATATTCTTTTTTTTCGGTATTTGTTAAAAGCCGCTCATCGGTCAATCTCACAAGAAACCTAACGAGAAAAATACTTGTAAGTCATTTACATTAAACTATAACTTGCTATCAACTTTTGTAGTAAGATTGTTTTGCGAAGAGAGCCCTTCATGACACTTTATAGTATACGCACAAAGAAAAAAAAATATGTTTAAGCTGTTTAAATCATGCAGTGAATTTTAATAATA